CTTTATTTTTTAAAAAGCACACAATCATAATGCCATAATAACTATTATATACTGATAACACTGTGCTACCAAGCACTGTGACAAGAGCATTCATTATATACATAATTCCATTCAATTTTCACTGTCAGCCGACCCTCCATGGATATTATTGCCCCCGTCTCACAAATAATACATCACCTTAGTGGGTTCTTTATATTATATCTTAAAATATCTCAAAATTATATTCCTGATGAATCCAGGACCATAAATGTACCTAAATCTAAATGTTCACTGTCTTTAAAAAAAAAAAAAAAAAACTTTAAAAGTCCCATCTAAACAATCAGAGAAGACCTTTAACATCTGCATATATCAGAACAGTATATACAATTCAAGCCAAATTCCCAAAACAAAATCACATATATTTCTACTGAAAATCAACTGAATGAAGTTGTCAATCAAATCAAGTATCAACAGTTTTATACAATTCAACTATAACATATGATTAGTAAAAAAAAACTTAATTGTGCCCTTTTTATTGGCTTGGTCAAAAAATAAGAAGAGAGAATTTTACTAGGAAATACTCCTCAGCAATCAATAAGAGACTCACTCTGTTGGTTCCTTCAACATGTGGGATGGTTTGCACCTAAGATGACGATTTATGATTGTGATTTCATCTTCAGTGCCCAGGCTATTAAGTTTTTCCAATCTCTGGTATAAATTTCATTTCAGTTCAATAATATATTAGCTATCTGCATACTATGTGTATAGCTATGTTCCAGGTGTTTGGTTTTCATTATTCATCTCACTTATGGTCTGTATTAAGTACCATCAAGCTAAAGATGTAGTAAATAGCCTACAAATGTCATTCAACTCAAAGAATATATAAAACATAATTCCTATTAAAAGCATAGGGAAGGCGGAAAAAATCTTACTTTGGAGAATAATAAAATACCTAAACTTAAGTACATTAAAATTATAAAATTTCATAAAAGATAATGCTGGTAATCTATTGAAAGCAGATTTATAAAGCAAAATATAACTTAAAGTACTGTATTGATTATAGGAAAAATTTTATGTCATATTAATGGAAAATCAAGGAGACCCATACAATCATGAGTTTTATTTCTTTACACACTAAAAATGCTAACTCATGGTCCTATACAGCCTGGCAACTAAAAATGTGCTCCAGGGACCAGCATTATCATCTTCACCTAGGAGCTTGTTAAAAATGCAGACTCTCAGACTCAAATTTCAACCTGCAGAATGAGAATGTATATTTTAATATGAATCTCAGATGATTTCTGTGCACATTATAGTTCAAGTAGCACAGTTCTACAACATGGATTCTTAACTTGGATTCTAAGACCAACGTGAATTTCATGAATCCCCTGAAACTGCATGCAGAATTTTTTTGAGTGAATAAATGCACATTTTACAGGGAAAAGATTCTGTATGTTTTTATCAAACCCTCAAAGGAATATAAGACCCCAAGAAGGTAATGAGCCATTGCCCTATAGGATTTTATGCCATCATTACCATGCTCTAAGATTAAAAATCACAATACTCCAAAAACTATTTACACTGCTCTCAATGAGGTCTGCTGAAGAATGACAAGAATGAAGGTCAGAACGTGACAGTGGGTCATGAAAGACCTTATCTGAAGAATTTATTCACACCATGCAAGAACTATGCCAAGAAACCAGTTTGGAGACATCTAAATAAATAATTCTCTACATGAGGTTTGAGATTAAGAATGTGCACTGGAAGAAGACTCAAACTGAGAAGTAAATAAACATAAGGTAGAATTTTTTTAAGATAGGATGCCATTAGATGACAGTAAACTGCTGAATTTTTGTTGTAAGAGCTCAATCAGCAAATCTCTAATACAAATTCTGTTTGATTTTAGAGATAGGGATATTTAAAAATGTTAATCTCCAATTATATTCTCATAGTATTTGTTTCATGAGAAACCCCAAACACATTTTACTTCCATTATCTTCTCTGAACCTCAGAAAACAAAAAAGAAAGGTGGCACAAAAATTAACAAGAAACTTGTCCCTGGGCTCTTCTGTGAGTTCATGATAAAGAATGGCTCCTATCCAGGAAGTCCTCACTGACATATCAGAACTGTGCATATATTTCATTCTGTCATCTTATCATGTAACCATCTCTTCAGGTATGAATTATACTGAGACAGAGATTATGTCTAACTTCTGTCAGCTATTGTGCCCAACAGAATTTCACTTCCTAGATGGAAACTGTGGTGTAGTAAATTACACAGTGTGGCTTTTCTAGCCATAAGTCTTTGTAAACTCTGTGGTGGAATTTGCTGTGAGCAACTAAGTAGAGCTCCTAATTGTTAAAGTTATCCACCTGGGTATTTCTGTTGGGAGCAGCACAAAGTAATTTTCTGGGAAGTTTGCTCTCTCTCAGGTATATAGAATTCTGATTTTGGGATTGGTTAGTGGTCACTCTGCCAGGCTCAAAAGGAGCCCTTCTAGAGGCATAAGAAGTCTCTCTGACTGCTGGCTGAGAAAGACATACTGCTGAGAGAAACGTGCTCCTGAGAGACCTGCACTGCTGAGAAAGAGACACCAAGAGACACATGCTACTGAGAAAGAGACACCGAGAGACAGGCATTGCTGAGAGAGAGAGAGACCAAGAGACACGCACTGCTGGGAGAGAGACTGAGAGAGACTGTTGGCTGAGAGACAGCAGGCTGAGAGAGACTGAGCGTTTTTCCTGAACTTGAATTGTAGCCTGGTGCTTCCCTAATAAACTCCATAATCTGTGAGTTCTGTGTGGCCACTGCAGTGAATTATTGAACCCAGCAGACAGGTGCTGGGTGCTGCGGGAGGAATAGTTGGTGTCAGGGTTGATGAAAGGGTTGGAGGGAGGCAGCATGTCTGGCCTCACAGGAATAGGCCTTGGGCTATTGATGGTGATTCTGTCTTCTTCTTATGGGGTGAGAGGAGGTTGGAAGATGGTGCCACCTTGCCCCTTTGGCAGAAACCCAAAGCATAAGAAAAGGGTTGACTGGTCTTTCTTGGGACTAATACTTTATTGTACTACTGTATCTTCTTGCCATTTATTAGTGATGGGCCTAATAGATGACAGTCTGGTCTCCAGGGCAGATTCATATCCTACGTTACCAATCATTCTAGGCAAGAAGAGGGAAGACTAGAAAAGTATTCAGGGTGACCAAGTCTTCTCTGCCCCTTTCTTTCTCCATGGGTATCAGACAAATGCCTGGCTGTTCTACTCTAAATTGGTCCATGAGATAACACTCAAAAATGTTTTTCTTAGCTCTATGAAGAGCTATTAAGACCTCTTGTTATCCAAGTACAATAGGGATCAGGATGACACTTTTAAGCATGATTTGCTCTATTAATATATCTTATTTACATAATAAACATTCTAGTAATATATATATTTTAACTAAAAATTATAAATATACTTATTCATTTAAATAACAGACATGAGTCCCCTCAATAATGAATACCATATAAAAGAACACAGTATTTTTACACATATGACAGTCCCTTGGACCTTCAATTAAAATTAAATAATAATGTTTTAAAAACATAGCTAATCTGGTTATTTGCTCTCAGCCCAAATAGTTTAAACAGTGCTGATTTGATTTTTGCAGGCAAGAAAGAATAACCACAGGAACAGACATACTGACAGCAGTGATACATAATTGGAGTCAGCAAGGAAGAATAAGGAAAAGAACAGAGACTAACATTTTTTGACCAACTTTTATGGAGCAACCACTATGTGTAACCCTGTGGGGTAGAGACTACTGTCTTCACTTGACAGATAGATAAACTAAGTCTCCAAGATTACCTAAGGTTACAAATTTAGACAGTGTCAAATAGCTCCTCACACATATCAGTGGTTGTTTTAAAAGTCAATTATGTGATTTTTAAGATAATAAAGTGGCAAAGCCAGAATTTGAACTCAGTCCGACTCTAAAACTCATGCTCTAAAACCACTATACTCACAAATAAACTGATCCAAAAACAAACAAACAAACAAAAACTTCATTGCCTTTGAGTCAATTCTGACTCATAACTACCCCTATTGGGTATCTGAGGCTGCACATCTTTACAGAAGTAGCCTGTCCCATCTTCCTTCAGCAGAGTGGCTGGTGGATTTGAACTGCTGACTTTCTGGTTAGCTGCCAATTGCCTTACCCGTTAAGCCACCAAATGAAAAGTATACAGGAAAAAAAAAAATTATAGGAAACCTAAAATGTCACAATAGTTTAATTTTTAAAACACATTAAGGTACTTTCAACAATGGAAAAGAATATAAAAATATGTTACTAATTAAGCAAGTTAATCTTACTCTTTGCCTGACAGTAACAGAACTAATCTTAGAAGCCTTGGATATTTCACAAAATCTTCATATTCTCCATAATCACTCATATAATTATTTTCTCTGGAAATATATTCTAAACTTTCTGGCACCTCTGCAAATTTTCAACCTATACCATCCCTCAGGGTAGAGAAATCCACTTGTTTACTACCCACTGTTTGAAGTAACATCTTGTATTTGTCTCAGAAAACTTCGATCTAGCTCCAGTGTAAGCCATCTAGATCTCATCTCTAGGTCAGATAAACTCTTGGCTTAATGTAGTATCTAGTCAAAAAACAAAACAAACAAACAAAAAAAAAAAAAAACACCTAGATCTCTTCAGAAATAGAAATGTCCTTTTAAATATAAAGAATATACCCTAATGTACCTTTAGTTTCCTTAAATTGGGGCCCATTTGATCTGAAAATGATATTTAATACCCAGAAGATCACACAAGCTACATCATATAAATTCTTCATTACATCTCAATTATATTCAAACCTGCCAGCCACTCCTCAGAAGGAAGATTGCACGATCTACTTCTGCAGAGATACTACCTCAGAAACCCAAGGAGGGGGTCACTAGGAGTCGGAACCAACTCACAGCAGTGAGTTTGGTTGGTTTAACAATAGTCTCATTTCTCCAGTTCAGATTTTAGTTACCTCTTCATCATCTTCCTCATCTTCAACATCCAGAATTCCTGAATCCTGTTCAGACTTGGGGCTAGTGCTTTCTATCTCTGTGTCAAAAATCGTATATGCATCTTTCTTTGATTTTCTCTTGCTACCTATTCTGGGTTGTTGTAAGACGATGTTATCCAAATTTCTTTGTTGCTGGGCCTAAGATAGAGAAAAACACACATTAAAAAAGGAGAAGAAGAAGAAACAACCTTAAGTAAACATTCAAAGACTTTCTAATTTTGAACAAATTGTTATCTTAAAGAAAATACAATAACATACCTTAATACATAATGTTTTAGTCCCAGAATAAAACCAAGCAAACTAACATATATTTTTTTTCAACCCTGAAGTTATCCCATTGGGACTCATTTTCCAGGTTTCCACAGGAAAATAATAATAATAATGGGTCACTATTATGAGATTCTTTTTAAATATCCATAAAACCATCACAAAATGAAATCCCCCCATTCTCACCTAAGTAGCTAAGACTTTAGTGCAAATGAGAAATATTCATCTTTTATGAGAAAATGTCATACCGAAACCAAAGTGGTTGTGGGTGGGAGGGAACCTGGAATTATTTTTTTATATACTTTGTTGTTGTTGTTATGTGCCATCAAGTCGGCCCCGACTCATAGCGACCCCTCCTTGGGTTTCCGAGGCAGTATCACTACGAAAGTAGATTGCCCAACCTTCCTTCCGAGGAGTGGCTGGTAGGTTTGAACCGCCAGCCTTCTGGTTAGCAGTCAAGTGCCTTAGGCACTATGCTTCTAGAGCTCCTGAAAGGACTTCAGTCACCAGTAAAGGTGACAAAAAGACAAAGGATTATCCTGATCAAAAGTCAGAAAATACAGAAAAGAATTTCAAATTCTCACAGACTCTGGACTTTCTGGAGCCATTGAGTGTGGATGAATCCTTGAAACTATTTCTCTGAAATAACCTTTAAACCTAAAATCAAAAATGTCCTCTAAAGTCATCTTAAAACAGAGTTACAGTTTAGGTTAACTAGTTGGGGGGGTGGGGAGAGTCTTGCCTTGAGCATTATGCTCTTTTAAGAGCATTCTAGACAGGATCAATTAACAACAGCAAAGCGAAAGATTACACAGGAACCTTAGGGGGCACTGAGCTCATGTTAATGAAGGAGAAACAATTCAGAAAAGGAGGGTGAGAAAGGTTGCACAACTCAAAGTACATAATCAATGTCATTAAATTGTACATGTAGAAACTGTTGAACTGATATACTTTGCTGTGTATACAGTCAACAACAACAATAAAATTTAGGAGGTAAAAAACAAAGACAAAAAGATTTATTCAAGATCAGAAGGCTAGTTAGTAGTAAAGGAGAGTTTCCTAAATTCTAGATCTTTCTTTTATACAAATATTCCCTAAAAGCACCACAAAAAAAATAAATAAATAAGTTCTCTTGTCAAACAAATGGGAAACACTGCATGCCATGAGCCTTCTTATAGATATACAATGCACATTAACAAAGCAAAAGTAGAAGTCCTATTTTGAGGAAACTTGTTGAATTTGGTTTAACCAAGTATTTTTCACAAGCATTTTAAAATAAATTTCCTTCTCCCATTTAGTATCACCGAAGATATAAAACATAAGAAATGTGGCCTCTCAGAATATATATTCCTTAATCAATATATGATATCAATGACAAGTAGAAATTAGTTCAGGAGAAAATCATTCTCCAAATCTTCTGAACGAGATAAATATTCAATATGTTAGCTCAGGCACTGGCCAAACAAGACAATTATAATAGGACAGAGAAAAACTTGAACTATGTGAGCTAGTTTCTGCCAAGAAGACAAAAAGAATCTACATTCCAGAGATTTGAATCAATGGACAAACTTGTTTCTCTGCATATTACCAATTGATATTTGGTATGATTTACATAAAATACATAATGGCTTCAGTAACAAACAGAGATAGAAAAGGTACCCAGAAGTACTTCATTCAGGCTTGAGACCCCGAACTAGAATATTCTTTCTATTCCTCTCAAAAGTTCTTTCCCACTTCCAATGCAAATCACCCAGAAAGGAATCAGGGATTCTGGGGAAGAAATGGAGACTGCCCAAAGCTTTCATTTTTAAAAAGCAAAGTCTTGACTAAAGATTGACCACTTGCTTCCTTAACTCTATCCTCACTTTCAGTTCAGCAAAAGGTTTCACAAATAGGTTTTATTTTATTGAATTCCAAATTAATTATTTTTCCTTACAATTAATAAAATACTACAATGTATCAAAGCAATCAAGAGGAGCCACACTTAAACACTGTCATTAAAACTTGAAGTCATACAAATATGAAAAGTATCAGATCTCAAATCTCTGTCAGAATTATCAAGATTTCTCCAGTCTGTAAAAAGCACTCAGAGCAGGTTTGCCAAGCAGGAACTGTCCCATTTGGAAACACCAAATCTCAGGTAGAGCAATGAAATAAATACTCGGATATTGCCAGGATGGATGCAAACCCATCTAATCAAAATATATGCTATGGAACTGGTAGAAATTGAGGAAGATGAAATTAACTGTATAAAAATACATTATAGATAATAAAATAAAAATGTGATGTTAAAGTCAATAAAAACAAATCCAATAAAATCTCTTCAGAGCTGTCTTCTAGCTCTTTTCTAAGATGCTAAGGTATCTCACCACAACCACTTATTCTGTCCCTCCAAAAAAACAACCCTTATAATTATGGATGCTGATTGATTTCTGCAGCCTACGCTGGAGTTGCAGAAGAAGGGAAATGAATCATACAAATAGAAGCTAGACCTTAGAAAGCATTTATGTGTTTTCTTTTTCTTAATAATTCATTTTCTCATGTATAATTTTTGCAGATTTACTGAAGAGTCCTTCATGTATATTTTTCCTTCATTTCTTATATGTAGACATTCCAAAAAAAAAAAAAACTAAACTCATTGCTGTCAAGTCGTTTCCAACTCATAACGACCCCTCCTTGGGTTTCCAAGGTGGTATCACTAAGGAAGTAGATTGCCAAACTTCCTTCCCAGGAGTGGCTGGTGGATTTGAACCATCAGCCTTCTGGTTAGACTGAGGCACTATGCCACCAGAGCTCCCATTATGCACAGTTTATTCCTCAGGCCACTTCTCTCTTACCACTCGTTTCATTCTCCTGAGATCCAGTAGCACATCTTCAGTTTTCTGTAAGAAATTACTATTGTGTGCGCTACCATCATTTCACGTATCATGACCAGGCTCTTCTGAACAACATGGTGAACAGCATTGTTCACTATGGCAATTTTGCATGACGAAAACTAGGGAGGGGGAATTTCAGAAATCCAAACTATAATCTATCATTTAGACCCCACTATCATAGAAGCTGAATCTAATTTTCCAGTATACTAATCCAGTATTCTCCAACATGAATCTTCCACTTGGATTAGAATTTACCTCATAATACATTAGATATATTTCCACTTCTGTTTCTTTGCTTATGTCATTTCTCTACCCAATGGCTTCAGCCTGCCTTAAATTCAGCCTTTTCTCCAAAACCCAACAAAAATTCTCTTTTCTTCACACAGCCTTCTCTCACTGCACTAAGTCATGGTGCTTTCTCTCTGTATTCTTATTTCAGTTAAACATGTATTAAATGTTCATTCGGTACCAAGTACTGTGCTTCGTTCTAGGTATACAAAGAAGTAAAATGTAGCCTCTGACTCATGAGCCTCGCATCATACTGGAAAGGAAGCAAATAGGCAAATAATCAAAAACCAACCCAGTTGCCAGTGAGTTGATTCTGACTCATGGAGACCCCAGAGTAGAACTGCTCCACAGGGTTTCCACAGCTGTGACTTTTTGAAAGCAGATCACCTAGGCTTTCTTCCCAGATTCCTCTGAATGGGTTTGAACTGCCAACATCTCAGTTAGTAGCTACATGGTTAACCATATGAACCACCCAGGGACACCTGGCAATAAAGAACTTTAATTCACTGCAATGAGTACAGTAATAGAAATAAATCAGAGGACAATGATTGCACAAAGGAGAAAGTAATCAGATCTGCTTTGATAAGTACCAGGGAAGGAAAGCTTCACAGAGCAACAGTTAACAAAGTACGGTCCCAAAAAGTAAACATGAATTTTCAAAGGGAGGTAGCTAGGAAGGGTAACCAAGGTAGAAAAGGAAGCAACATGCGAAAGAACCACTTGGGAAAGTGAATAACATTATTCACTCATGAAATGATAAGTAGTTTTGTATACTTAGAGCATAGGTTATGAAAGATTAACAAGGAATAAAGTTAAAGTTGCATACAAAAAGTTTCAACATTAGCCAGTAGGCAATGGAGAGACCCTGAAAGAATGTAGATAGGGAAACAACAAGATCAGATTTACATTTCAGACAAATCTTCTAGGAGCAGAGTAGTGGTCAGTTGGGAGAAGGAGGGTAAAGATTCCAAAAACCAAAAACCAAAAACCAAACTCACTGCCATTGAGTCGACTCCAACTCAGAGCAACCACCTTTGAGTTTCTGAGGCAGCAAATCTTTACAGAAATAGATTACCCAGTATTCCTTCCACAAAGTGGCTGGTGGGTTTGAATTGCCAACCTTATGATTACCAGTCAAATGCCTGAGGCACTACACCACCAGCACTCCTTAAGGTAAAGATTGTTGTTGTTGTTATTTGCCATCAAGTCAGCCCCCAACTCATAGCGACCCCTCCTTGGGTTTCCAAGGCAGTATCACTACGGAAGTAGGAATGCCCAACCTTCCTTCCGAGGAGTGGCTGGTGGGTTTGAACCGCCAGCCTTCTGGTTAGCAGTCAAGTGCCTTAGCCACTATGCTACCAGAGCTCCTAAGGTAAAGATTAGAAGCAGGAAAAACAAAATACATCCTATAACAGTCAAATAACAATGGTGAGGACTTGAATTAAGATAGCAGCAGATATAAAAAAGCAAAAGCAACAGAATTTACTGATTTGAGTGTGGTATACAGAAAGAGGAAGGAACTAAGAATAGCTCCAAGTATCCTGGCCTTCATGAGGATGGTGGGATCATTCCAAGTAATAGGGACCAAGGAAATAAGTTGGGAGCAGGACAGAGACAATTCAGTAAACCTGTAGGGTATCCAGGTTAAAAAAAAAAAAAAAAAATGGGAATACAGCACGTCAACATGAAACTTTTCTCTCTTTGAGG